TTTATTTAAAGGCTGAAATGTGAGGTTTACCTTTTTATGAAACTTTTTCAAAGCTTTATTTGAACATTTACATTAGATATTTGAACATTGGTAATATTATTGTTTTAATGATTATGCAAACAAAAAGTCATTTTATTTGTTGTTTGTTGATTTTTAAATATAAAACTTGGTGAAGTGATTTATGTGTTGGTACTTTTTTAACATCTCCAGCACATTTTAACAATACCGTGATAATACTGATAACTGTGATAATTTTGGTCACTATAATCGTGATAAGAAATTTTCATACCGTTACATCCCTAGTTGTGATGTCACAATGCCACCGTCAGTCGGACCCGAAGCACTCAGGCCAGCCTCTCTGAGATGTGGGTTAACACAAATTGTCGTTTGTGTGTGAAAGTGTGTACGTGTTTGTGAGACAGTGCATGGCTTCTTCTGCCAAGGGTGCGAGACACTTGTCTGGTCTTAGTCAGTTTGATGTAGGCAGCTGAATTGCACAGTTGCAGCTGTTTAGTTTCTAATGTCTGGAATGGCTTTATCTTACTTTAAAAGGGTTCTGTGTTCAACACGTTTGTAGTATTTACATTTTTTCCCTCCTGAAGTCCATTTGTAATTACAGAAGAACCAATATTAGTTTAGGCTTTACAGTATGAGCCTGATATTGCATTGAAAATTAATAGAAAGATCACTTTACCTGTGACACTGTTGAAATTGCAGTGGTGTAATAGTGTTGCTGGATGCTCTGAATGCATGTTTAGAGACCAACCAGATGGAGCCATTTATCTGTAAACCCGATATTTATTAACTGATAATAAATGGAAAAGTTTGAATATTTGTAAACAATGTTGGTCAGAAAGATTAACAGTCTCTTATTACTGGAATACTTGACTCTGATTGGTCAGTCGCAACATTCTGAGGTTTGTTATTCTCCAATAATAACCTTTGACATTAGCAACGGCGAATAACATACCGCTCATCCAGGTTTTTGAGGCCGGGACTTCTTTCACATCTCTCATATCACACTGCCACGCTTTCTCTAGTTTCATTCAAACACTACTAATATAATCTCAGTTATTGGCTGTGTACACTCTGTAAAGTTTCATGAGTCACAACCGCATTTTAATACTGGAGTGAACCCTTTAAATTTACATTTTGTGTGTGTACGGAAGAGAACTCACTCTCGAAACTGTGATGATTGTTTTGTTTTTGCTTGAAAGGCTACTTTGCGGAGAGCGCTCTTGAAAGGTTGCCATGTCCACTTATAATCAATGATTATTAAGTGTCTTTGGGCTTGTTGTTTGGGCTCGGCTCATAAAGCAATTCAGTTTATGGAGTAAATAAAGTAGACAGGTGCATGTGACTTATTTCCAAGATAACGCATTTGAGTTTATTATGGGCTGGTTCATATTTGTTGTTTTTTAGCAAGATCTGGCAACACTTGTCAAAATGTACCCTGTGACTTCTTGCATTGCACATGCAAAAGAGACACAAATCGTGTTTAAATATGTCATTAACAAGAAGTTGTTAAATTCAGTTTTGTACACACTGCGTTGAATTTTTGTCAAATGTGGTTGTCATTACCTGCGTTTTTTGGGAGTTAATTCAGTTGTAGAATGCGGTTGTCACTCCCGTAAATGACTGTGTGTGTACAGAACAGGATTAAGCACTAAAAGGTGAACTAACAACTGAATTTAGCTGTATTTACTGTACAACAAAGGATTTCTGTATTAATAGTAGACCTGCGGTAATATGAAGTGTTCGTCTTGTTGCCAGAATGACTTTTTTGTACACTGTAATGGATTTAAGATAACAAACAAGTAGGATTTTAAAACCCTTTCTTCTCAAAGAACATTTTATGCCCTCTTCATTATTTATGTGGTGAAAAGCTGTGTAATTAGTGATATGACTGTACGTTATGCCTTAAATGTCTGTCTTGTCTCAACTTCATCTAGACTCAAAGCAATTTGTTTGGAACTGTTTTTCTTTGTGTTTAAAGAGCTCAAATCAATATTTTGGTCTAATTATTTACTCATGTGGCAAGTAGCTGTGTAATAAGCCAGATAATGTCCATCCAGCCAGTTGTTATCGGAGAATAAATCATAAAATCCTGTGCTCCATGATATACAGTGGCTATAAAATGTCCACACTCCTGTTAAAATGGAAAGTTTTTGAGATGTAAAAAAAATGGATTTGTTTGTTACTTGAATTTTGTTGGTTTCAATATTGCATTAAAGGTGGAAAAAAAAATTTTAATTACAAAAAAAGTGCAATTTTAAGAGGTGTTTAAGTCATTGTAGTTCCTTCTACAGTACTTCATCAACATTGTAGTATTTAAGTTCTTCCTATTTTGGGGGAAATTGGAGCGATTAGTCTTTTTCTACATTTAGGAGTTCTTGATAACACAGGTAGGCATAAAAACATTTTGGCTAATTCCAAGTCTAACCATTCTGTTTTGTTGACAGTATGAAATATGAATTGTAGCAAACTGTCAGTTAAAGCCCACAGATGCGGATTGTGCGGTATACTGGGGAATATGCTGTCTTCTTTTCATTATATACTTGGCTCTTGTTTAGAGTGATCCCATAATACTTGAGAAGAGATTCTAGATAAAAGAAAAACATAAAAAGAGTAAATAAAAGTAAAATAAAAAAAAGAACTAGTTAAATTCAAGCAGTGTTATCACTGAATTACTATTACAGTTTTT